CGGGCGTAGGCGGGCGCCACCCCGGGAAGGCAGGCAGGTGGGCGGGGCGGAGGGCCCGGAGGCGGCGGGGCCGGGGGGCGCTCCGGGGCCGCGGCACGCGCACTCGCCTCAGGAAGTAGGGCTTGGCGTAGAACTTGAAGTCCGCCCCCTCAAAGTACACGTCGAACTCCGAGGCCCGGGCGTAGGGCACGCGGATGGCCACCGTCAGGAAGTCGGGGTCCTGGCTGAGCTCGAACGCGGGGGTCAGCATGGCCGCTCCGCACGCCGGGCCGCGGCGATCGGGATGCCGGACTTTCAGACAAGTCCCGCGCTCCGGGCACCGAGCCGCTTCCGGCGCGAGGCGGAAGTGTGCACCGCGGTGCCGGAAGTCCCGCCCCTCGTCGGGCTCCCTGGAAACACGCCCCTTTAAAAGGAGCGGCGGCGCTGTCTCCGGAGCGCTGAAGGGTTGGGAGGACCCTGAGGAGTGGTCCGCCGTGACTTCTCCGGGCGTCCTGGTGACGTTGCAGGTAGACAGACGTTTCCGGTGTGAAACCTCCGGGAGGCGCTGTGCCTCGGAAACCTCTGCTGTGAAACTGAGGCTAGGCCGGGCGCGGTGGTGCCGCCTGCTGTCCCCGCCGCTCCGGAGGCCCAGGCTGGAGGATGCAGGTCCGAAGCCAGCTCAGCAACATAGCGAGGCCCTGTCGCAAAATAAAATATGAAAAGGGCTGGGAGTGTGGCTCAGGGGCCAAGCACCCCTGGTTAACCCCYCAGTACCTAGTAGTGGTGACAGTAGTAGTATTAATAATCATAAAACGAGCTAGCCTCGCGGAAACGCTGTGAGGGTAAGGTGACAGGGCGCGTGCTGAGCTCCAGCGTCCCAGCTCCTGCTGTCAGCGCTCAGTGTGGTGCAGCAGGTGCCGCAGAAGCTGAGGTTTCCCTTCGTTCTCACGTGTCTTTCATCCCCCATGCACACACTCCCTCCCTTCCTTCCCGGCTCTCCTTTCTCTCCACTTTTTATATAATCCCTTATTTGAATAGGGTTTTGTCATTAGCAGAGTCTCCACTGTGACATCTGGTCCACGCTATGAACTCCAAAGAAAACTGGGCGCAGAGAGGTTACGAAATATGACTTATAGTCTTTGCAATGATGAGAAACCAGAACGTCTGGCTCTTAAACCCTGCCCATGTCTGCGCTGAGGAAGAGGAATCGTGGTCCCTCTGGATTTTACCCCGTTTCCTTCTTGTCACTCTTCCCCTCCCACTTGTCCGAGGCTGGCTTTTGTCTTTTCCCCTTCCCTGCATGTACTCCTGTTAGTCTGTGTTCCTCTGGGTCTCCCATCGCCCCTCCCACTAGTCTCCCTCTTCTATATATTCCCTTGGACTACTTTCCCTCTCATTCAACTTTTTTCCTGTTATTTCTCCAGTAACTAGCATAACCCAGTGATCATTCCCAGGTTTCAGACGTCAGTGGGAAAGGGATGAAAATTATCTTAACAAGACAACTTCAAGAGTCTTTTCAGGGGCTGGGATTGTCGCTCAGTGGTAGAGTGCTTGCCTAGCATAGGTGAGGCACTGGGTTCGATTCTCAGCACCACATATAAATAAATGAGTGAAATAAAGATCCATCAACATCTAAAAAAAAATTTTWAAAAAGAGTCTTTTCAACAACTGGTTTTCTATGCTTGTAAAGAAAGTCTTGAAACTTATTAGGATTCAGAAAAAATAATAACAGGAGTTATTAGTGTTAGTTGAATACTTATTATGTACCGGCACTGCAGCAGACCCTATATATGATCACATTTTCCCTCCTAACAGCTCTGTGAAGAAGGCGTTCCATTTTCCCTCGGCCTGCTCGGGATGCTCATAAGTGGTTCCATGGGAATTGAAGCCTAGGTAAGTGTGACTCCCAGGTCCAGGCTCTGAACTACTGACTAGGAGTTGACTCCCTCTCATATGACCTCTTACCTCCCTGTTTCACAATCTGAGGCCAAGCCGGCCTGCTTTAGACCACAGTGAGATCTACAAATCATAGACACTCAATACAACAATGAATTGATGCCGACCTGGAATTAGTGCCACCCTTAAATGGTCTCTTGAGAAAGGCCTTTGGCTAAATCATTCCAAATTAGCTTCTCTGGAAAAAAATCTTTACATCCACCATGAGACCTCCTTCCTGTAGGTCACAGCATTCATATTTTTAAATTATTAATGCCAGAAAATTCACTGGAACAAGCTATGCTGTCTATGAGCAAACTCTAATTAAAAGCAGTTTACACACCAGAGCTGTGTATTTCCTGGGCGCTTGGTTATGTGGTTAATGCACTCACTATACACACTCACACACGCAGAGTGATGACAGCAGACTACATGGTCGTGCTGCTATGATTTATGAGAAATATAAATTACAGCTGCCTCATCACAAAACACTGACAGTTATAACCATCTGGTGGGGTTCTATGGTTTGGGGGAAGATTTGGCTGTTTTGGTTTTTGTTTTAGAAAGCAACAGTTCTAACTGTATTTTGCATTTCTAATTGTGGTAAATTACACACAGTTTAAAATGAATTTTAAACAGACAAAATTCCCTTTGACTGCATGTAGCTTTTTCTCTCTCCCCCAAAGATGACTTTTCTAGCCACCCTTCAGACCCTTTTATTTTTCTCAGGACATCTCTTTGTACCCTTGTGACTTCGTGCTTAGACTCTTTTATGTGGGTGCATTATCACACTATAAATGTAACGCTGCAGTTTTTTTTTTTACTTTACTACATTTTTGAGACATAACTGTATTGCTATATAGATCAAAATTGAAATCCTTTTTGTGAAAACATAATGCTTAAAACTAAAGACATTATTGACAAACATTTCATATTAACTCTGATTTAGAGGTGGAAAACAAGAATGAAATATCTTGTCATTTTTTAACCAAAGCTTGCAGTATTAATTTTTTTATGTGTCCATATCCTTGAGTCTTACTTTTGGGTAGACATTCATTACTTTAAAAATAGTTGTGCTTTTTTGTTTTATTTTTTTTTCTGTAGCCAGCTTATTGAGGTCAATTAGGTAGCCTGTCACCCTCAATTACTTTAAACTGGTCCTTTCCTGGTGTACTGATTGAGGTCCTTAAGGTTCAAATTTAAATAAAATAAATTTTATAAACAATTTTAATTTCAGCTTCTGTTCCTGGAAGTCCTTTAATGTTGAAGTACCCTTGGTTTCCAGAAGGTGGCGTCTATCGGGGTGATTAAGACAATGTGATCTCCAACAACAGTTTTAACCTGGAGAGTGGTTTCTGAAAAACCGTCTCACTCCAGTTCTTCTCTAAGGTGTTTCCAGGAGGAGGTGACTCACACAGAACTGGCAGGTGACAGCTCAAGCACTATCACCATTTTGATAGACAACTTTTCAGGCTCTTGCTCAATAAAGCTCAATAAAGCCCCGAAGAATATGCAGAATGGCAGCCCCTGACCCCGCTGCGTCTGTTGACATTAGTCTGCACAGTGGAACTGAGGGCTGAACAGCACACCTGTGGAGATGCTAGCCCAAGCCCCGCAGACAAAACGTGAGGTGTCCTAGGAGAATGACCAGACAGCATCTTGAGCTTCCTTTGTTTTTTGACGTCGTATTTCTGAAAGACACCTCCAGAAGACACTGTTTTGATGTCCTGTCCAGATGCTCTTCGTGGTGCCCGGAACCCATCCGTCACTACTAGCAACGAAGGGTGCTAGCGGCTCACCACTGACCCCTTGTGCGCCAATTGCCCAAGCCCAGGGTTTCTCACCTCAGTATGGTGGGCAGGTCACGCTGCCACTGGAGGCCGTCCTGTGCATTGGCAGGATGGTTAGCAGTATCCCTGCCCACTCGTCCCTCCATTCTAGTCCCAGTCCCCCTGATGTGACAAGCACAATACCTCCAGACTGTCAAATAGTCCCTAGGGGACAAATCGCCCATGGTTGAGAACAGCTACTCCAGAYTGATGGAAGCCACCAGGAAGTGACTCCACCACCATCCCAGGCTCCCAACGGTGGGGCTGATGTGGGGAACTAAAGCCCCTCAAAGAGGAAGTTGACTCTATGGCAGGAGACCGCCTGCTGGGATGCTGAGAAGGTAGCCCCTTTCTTGATGTGGATGGAGTGACGTGGGTCTATCCCCAGGTGACAATCCACAACACCATGGATTTAAGGTTCATGTGCTTTACTGTGTATCTCGATGAAAAAGAATCTGTGGGTGTTTGGTCCACTCTCAAGACTGGGTGCTGGAAAGGCAGGCTGCTGCTGCCTCGTGTCTGTGTTTTGCACAGGGCAGTGCCTGTGGCTGCAGAGCACAGCCCTGTCCAGTGTTACACCTTGGGTGGGCCACTGTACCCAAAGGCCTGACTCCTGGTTTCAATGACAGCTCTGAGGAAACTGCTAAATATTGGGGGCAGGGGGAGCCGTCAGAGCTCCGTGGACTTGGCTGAGGTCTTGGTTTCAACTGTATCATCCAGTCCCACCTTCACCTTACAGGTGTTTCTCAAAGAACACTCCCTTCAATACCATATGCTCTCCACCCTCTGTAGGGTCTGTTTTCAGGTGTCCTATCTAATAACCTCTGGGGATGGGAATGTAGCTCAGTGGTAAATCACGTGCTTAGTATGTATGCATGAGGACCCAGGTTCAATGCCCAGCACCCTAAAAACAAACAGATCTGCCCCATACACTAGAATCCCTCCAAATAGACCAGAATGCTGACTTTACTCTCCACGCTGAAATTCCCAAAATTCACTCTGTTCTCCTTGATTTTCCTAGAATTAAAGCCATGAGTTGACTTGTCTCTGAAAAACCCATGGCCACGGTTCACTATCTTCCTGAATGCCTCTGTGATTGCAGCAGCCACCCAAAAGAAACCAATCTCATGGAAAAGAACAGCAGCCACAAAACTGGGAGCTCTGTGCAGGGGAAATACAGGCCCTCCTGCAATTCAAAACCATCTCTGTTGATTACACGTATCATAAACTCATGGCAGGCACTTCTCTCAAGTGGAGCTAGCATAACTGGCTGTTGTGCATTGTGTCCCCAGAAGAGTTCACATTAGTCACTTTTCCCTGAATAAGGACAGATCCTTTCAACAGCTGCACTAGTGTTTAAAATGCAGGTAGTAATTATGTTATTGTCAACTGTACACAATCAAAACGCAGCTTCGGCCCTTCCCGGCCTCTCGTCTCTGTGCCACGCTCTGCACTCTGTGCTTGCATATCCTCTGCGAATCACATCTGTCCTTCATTTCCTCACACTCCACACCCTGCACGACATTTTCTTTGTTTCACATCAATGTTTTGATGATTGTTTTGGCCATRTGGGTTTGGTTTATTTACACTGGTTTTCATGGTTCTTTCAGTATTTAATAGCTTTTTAGTTGTGATTTTTTTTTTTGTTCAATCATGATTCATAGCCAATGAGGTATATTTTCTCTCTGGGTGAGACATGAAGAAACCAGACAATTTAAACTTAAGTCTTCCGGCCTTCAGGAAGTTTTCAGCCAATGGACAGTGCCTGAAGAGACATTTATAGAGCCAGTTGCTTCCATTACTATCATTTATGGAGTGGATTTTTTTTCCAGTTCAGAAAACAATGTTAAGGGTCTCTTCTTTTTCTCTCAGCAATACTGCCCCAAATCATGGAAAATTATGATATAAATTAAATGAGCAACAATTTGGCTGGTATTTCTGGATGTGTATTGTGTACAAGCCATTTTTCTAAGTGATTGGTAAGTGATCACGGTTTCATGCCACATCAGTTCTGCAAGTAAAGTGCTGTTGTATCATCTGTCCCATGTCACTTGGCTAGTAAGTGACACAGCCAGGCTAGGGACCCCATTGCTTCCAGTCCATTGTCCGTTAAAATATGTGTTTCTATTTTTGATGGTCTGGGAAGAGAGAGGGAGAAGAGAGTGAAGATAATAAAAGATGAAAGAAATGATTCCTAAAGTCACGTAATTTAGATATTAGTCACAAAAATAAAACACAGAAGACTATTTCCAAGGAGTCTCTCTCCCACCATGAGCTAGCACTCCCAGGGATCACACCTGCTGTGGTACCTCCACAGTGCACTGGGCTGGCCCTGTTTGACCAGTGGAATGCAGCAGAAGCCATGCCAGGTGACAAGAGGTCTTGCTGACACCCTGGACTCCTGGAACGTGGGCTCTGAGGGAAGCCGGCCAGCATGTAAGGAATCCAACCCTGTCCCCCAAGACCGCCATGCTGCGGGAGCCCACCTCACCAAGCAGAAGGGCAGTGGCCACCCTAAGCCATCTCAGCCGGCCCAGCCCAGCCGCCATTCCCATGAGTAAAGAGGACATCTTGGGCCTTCAAGCCCCAGAAATCGCCAAGTGGAGAACAGCAGAGTCCAGCTGAAAGAAAAGGGCTACAGGCTCTGAGCCGCCAGGAGAGGCAGGCCACCCCCAGTGCACCTTTCCGATTGGGTAATTCACAAAGCTGTGAGCACAACAAAGTGGTGATTGTTTAAAGTTAGGGGGTTTGCAATGCAGCAACTGATAAATGAAATAGCAGTTCTTGAAAAAACACTCACCCAAGAATGTACAAACTAATATCAGAGAGCTCCAGAGATGGAGAAATGCTTCGGGTTGGAACAATTAGAAAAATCTCCTTTCTGATAAGGAGGTCTGGAGCTGGACCCAGGGCTTGGGGAGAAAAAGGGCAGATCCGTGGGGCAGACCCAGGTCACTTTATCTGATGTGCAGGGTACAAGAACGGAAGCCCAGGATTGGAAGGAAAAGGCGTCTAGTGCAAAATCACCGAGGGTGGGGAACGCCAAGGAAAATAGTCTCACAACGGAACAGGACCGTAAAAACCATCTAGCAGCACCCACTGGTTTTCTTCTTACAGATTCGGAAACTGGAAGCCAGACAATGAGATCACTTGGCAAGTTACTCGAAGCCTCCTCCCTCCCAGAGCCGCAGCTGCTGGGCCAGCAGGGTCTCTGCGCGGTGCCTTCTCCCCTGGCGTGGGAGACACTCTGGTGTGCCACCCTGTATTGTGCAGGCAYGGGTGGGCGTGTTTAAAGCCAAGTTCTCTGCTTCTGTGGAGCGSAAGTCTCTCCATCTCTCTTCATCCTCCCCCCTCATGTTAAAGAGAAAGCARAGCCAAGGCCTGAAACCTTCCAGCCTCTGAACTCTCACCAAGTGCTCCAGTAAGTGTTTTAAAGCAACTTTTCTGAGGTTTGATTTGCATTTCATAATATTCCCTCTGTTTTAAGTGCACTACTCAAGTGATTTTTCGTATCAAGTTACGCAACCAGCCACAAAATCCAGCCCATTTCCATTACCASGATCAGATCTCGGCCCATTTACACTTAACCCTGCTCCCACCCAAGCACAGGCTGCCCTTCTACTTTCTGCCTCTGGATTTGTCTTTTCTGCACATTTTGTATAAATTCTCATACGATGCACGGGGTTTTGCGTCCGGCTCCTTCCATGTGGCCCCGTGGTTTGGGGTCCACCAGCGGTTCATCCCCCGCCCCGCCCACACCTTTTTTTGGATGAACAGCCCTCCATTATATGGATTGCTGTGCTTGGTTTCTCCATTTACCAGTTAAAGCACATTTGGCTCGTTTTCACTTTTTGGCTCTTATGAATAAGGCTTTTTCCACAAAGTTTTAAAAGTAGTAAGGATTGCTAAGTAAGCAGAGTCCCAGAAATTTTGAGTTTTCTGAGGAGATTGCTTATTAAAATAAAAAAAAAATACAGGAAAACTTGAAGAAGAATGTAAATGTCCTGCTTAGCTATGACCACAAGGTTACCATTCTACCGTAAGCGTCTRTGCTTTCTATAAGATGAAACTGCACATACTTTTTGATAGTTGATTTTAAAATTAATGTCGTCATGAAAAATCTGCCTATGCCAGGAACATTTTATCGAATTAATGTACCGTAATTTGCTTATCTAATCCCAACTATTAGACAATTCAGTTTAGGTAATTTGTTATTATAAACAACAATGACTATTGCCATGCTTACAAAGGTTATTTACAAACAAAAACCATGAAGCTGGTTATTCTATTTTATTTCACTTCCTTTATGATTTTTATTTACAGTCAACCTTTTATGCCATCCTGGATTCTATTTTTATTTAGTTTTGCATGCTGGGGATCAAAACCAGGGCCTTGTGCCTGCCTGACAAGAGCTGTACCCCTGAGCCCCTCAGTCACGTCCCCAGGGTTAGATTGCAGGTGCCTTTTTAGACACATGCAGGAACGTCCAGTCCTGTGTGGTCCTCAGGCACGGTCCTCTTTCCATCCTGGGCTCCAATAAGTACCCAGAGTCCTAAATAGCTCCTCAGCCTGTTCCAGTTTCCACTGAGACATCCCCGGAMTGGCCCCAGGACCTGTGCTGCCCTACACCTAGCTAGAGGGGCCCCTACTGGCCCCACACTTTACAGAATTCCTGGYCTGGCCCTCTTCAGTCACTGCCCAAGCCTCCCATCTTCTAGAACACTCCCCAGACAGCAAGGCCCCTGAATTTCATGAATCTATTGCCTCCGCTGGTGCAGGCCACTTTGTGAAGGGGCCCTCCTAGAGGCAAACTGTGCCTCTGGTGTCTSCAATTCAGGCCTGAAAGGTGGCCAAGGGCAGCAGTTGGAATGGCCCTGATGAAAGGTGGACATATGGGCAGGGGTGGGCGGGAAAGAGGATGGGCCAGAGACTGGAGACGGTGTCTGCACACCCTCCATGTTCACCTGTAGGGCTCTTCAAGTCTGCCTGGCCCTCGAGGTCATCACACTGCTCACCTGTCAGGACTATGGAACATACACTATTAGCAGTGGTTGGTTTGACTTTGAACTCCTGAATATTTAAACGAATCGCAGGTGGGCCTTTGTTTATGTTCTTGCACCAGATCCTGAGAATACTGTATTTCACCTAAAAAATTCTTCAAAATTCTGTTTAACATTAGCTTTGTATTTTGTTAAAAATAAACAAAAAGACCTCTAACTTTAGATTTTTTTAAAAAAAAATTATAACCAGTATTTCTATTCTCCTAAACAAAATGAGGATCATAACCTTTCATCTTTCCTTGAACTGTCCCCCAGTTGCCCTGTTTTGGTTTACAGATGTTAATCACACCTTGATTATAAGCCTCCGCCAGGGTGATTTCTATTCATGATTCTAGATCTGTCAATGTGTTCCACCTATTTCTTCACTCGCCTCTGCTTCTTGCATAGCACCCCTTTGCATTCAGTTTGCTTCTTGTTGAAGTATATTTTTATTCATTCACAGAGTTGATGAGACAACTTTTAGATGGTGTATCTTCAGATCATGTCTTACCCTCTGTATGAGTGCCCTGTGTCTGCTATAACAAGCTGCCCCAGGCTAATGGCTCAGAACAATGCAGGTGTGTTCTCTGACAGCTCTGGAAGCAGGTATGAAGCTAGTTTCAGCAAACTAAAGCCTGTGGTTCCAAATGCTTCGCCTCTGGGCCTGCAGGGGGCTGACCTCCCCTGTCCTAGCTRTAGGAGGCTGGCAGCATTCTTTGCCTCCTGGACTTGTACCTGAAATCACACCCACCTCTTGCTTCCAACATCTTTTCTCTTCTCCCCCCTTGGACCCTCCTGCTGCACTTTCTGTGGCCTTGGTGACTTCTTGGAGCATCTGTTTAAAGTSATGTAGGTCCTTGCCTAAGCCGACCTTGCTTTCTCAGGCACACTCCTTTGATTCCTCTGAGCCTCTCCAGCAGCCTCTTCAACCTCCATTTTCCAACAGTGGCCCTTCCTGGAAAACTGGGCCCTTCTGAGGTGTGCCTCAGTCCCCGGTGGATCCTCAGACYCACTCCCCACTTRTGGGAACTYGTTCCCTCCCACCCTCCAAGCTGAATGACGTTGGTGAGGAGGTCTTGGTGGTGGGATCCGTCTCCCCTCCTTTGTCTCCTGTCTCTACCGTGGCTGGTGAGAAACCTGGTGTATTTGCTTGATGGTGTGCAACATTTTCTCTCTGTGAACTTCAGGGTTTTTCTTTTTCATTCATATTCTRTATTTTTGTTGAAATATCTAGGTAACAAGTTCCACATGGAATAAATTCTACTTTATCCCATGTGGAACTTGTTATGCTTTTACTATCTCATGAGTTCCTCTCTTTTGCATCTGTAGACTGTGCAGCCATGTTCGTGAGGTCTGTTGCCGCAGTCGGCCTTCTGGAACACGCTATAGTCACGTTAAGTCTCACTCTAGCCTCGTCCTTCACCTCCATTCTATTTTGCAGTGCTAGGGATCAACCTGAAGTCACAAACATGCTGGGCAAGCTCTCTACCACTTAGCTACACTCCCAACCTTTAATTTTTTACCCTTCTTTTTTCATCTTAGTGCTACGTGTGAGTAATTTCTTTAGATCCAACTTTCAGTTTTTTAGTTTTCTCCTCAGCTAGATTTAACAGACTCTTTAACCCACAGGTTGGGTTTTTAGTTTTAATCACTACATACTTTGAATTTTTAGATGTTACACTTGCCCCTCTCTCTCTCTCTCTCTCTCTCTCTCTCTGTGTGTGTGTGTATGTGTGTGTGTGTGTGTGTTTAATCTTCCCAGGTCCTGTTGATAGTCTCTTATATCCACAGTCTCCTTAGCCTCTCTCACTTTGTTAGAACTATCGAGTGCACTT